ATCTTGGTTTTCTCTCCCCTAGAGAGAAATGGAGAAGACCTTAGCTCTAGATACCTTCACTGTAAGTGCATAAACTTATATAAAATAAATCTCAGACCTACATGTACACTTCTATCTACAGTGATTCTACATCCTTCTGAAGCCAGGGAATACATCCTTCTTATGACATCTAAGGACTCTGATCCTACTTTCTGAGCGCTCCTGGCAATGCAAGAATGAGGTTCTTCCTGCACAAGCACAGTTTTCTTTCAAAACCCCAAAGAAGACAGAGGATATTTTTGAGCCTTTCCTCAACTTGTTTCGAGATGGGTCGTGTAGTTAAAACAAAGCCTCCCTAGAGCAGCTGACTGGGTGTGAGAAGAGAGTGGGCAAGGAGAAGCACAGTGCACTTTCTGCCCTTCCCACAAAAGCTTTGCCACTGTGCAGGAAAGACTCCCAGACTCATGGGGTCAGGAAGCATGTTAATGGCGACAGAAAGTGACTTCACAGTCATAAGGTATGTCCCTCTCTGCTCTAGAGGCAATCTGTTCCTTATGTTATTAATCAGTCTTGAAGTTTCATAGCAAAGCTGTCATTACAACCTATGTGAGTGCCTTTACTGCTAGGGAATATTACCCTCTTCCTGATTCCCTGGATTTAAAATTGTTTACTACCGAGTGGCACAGTTTCAACCAGAAGATGAAGAGTGGTTTGTTTTTTTTTTCATTCCCAACCTGTACACTTCCCTAGATCTTAATTTTATCTCTCAACTCACTACTACTACTGCTACTACTACTACTACTATGACTAATACTTTTGTCCTCTAAACTTGCTTGTAGATGTGTGCTGTGATGAACATCACAATCTTCTTTTAAAAAGAGAAAATTGAAAAAACTTAGGCACCATGTGGTGTTGCCCATGTCCATTTGGTCCACGGACTCTGTACCTTCTCCCCTAGCAGAACAAGGCCAGCCAGTGCAGAATGAGATCATGGCTGGGGCCCATAGCTGGTGTGAGAAGATGAAAAGCATGCCCTAGGCTTCGGTCTGTAAACACAGAAAAGCTTCCTTATTCTACCCCCTTCCTGACTATGTATTTCTTTGTCAATCTAGTATAATTCACAAGCTTCTTTCAGGAAAGCTCAAGGTTCAGTACCCTGAGAATCAATTGGATAAAAGTTTATGCCACAGCTTCTGTTAAAGGGTTGGTGCCTTATGAGTCTAATTAGCAGGGATCTACTGGTAGCAACTTTTCAGTGAAAAGAAAATATTCTTCTCCAGTTTGCATTGCCTTCAAGTCATAAAAGGAACATTGGTTTAATCAGACACACTTCCTCAAGAAGCTCCTATGACATTGCTGCCTTTCCATGGTTTTCCCTAAGATAGCTTTACGGATGTAAAAGGTTTCTTTGAATGAAAAGAGGCTGTTATGCTGTTAGATCAAGATGATCATGATTAAGACCTTGACCATGGTTTTAATCTGTGAAGGTCAGAGTCTGGATCTCAATAGATGATCACTTTGATTCATTTTACGGGGTAAAATGCTGTCCTGGTTTTGGCTGGGATAAAGTTTATTTTCTTCCTGGTAGCTGGTACAGTGCTGTGTTTTGGCTTTAGTATGAGAACAATGTTGATAACACACTGGTGTTTTTAGTTGTTGCTCAGTAGCTCTTACCCCCATCAAGGACTTTTCAGTCTCGTGCTCTGCCAGTGAGGAGGGGGACAAGAAGCTGGGGGAAGAGAGGGGATAGCAGAGACAGGACACCTGAACCAAAGGGGTATTCCATACCACAGCACATCATACTTTGTGTATAAACTGAGGGGAGTTATCCAGAAGCAGTTGATTACTGCTCAGGGACAGGCCTCTCGTGACTGAGTTTTTTTGAAAGATAATCAAAGAGGGCTGTGATTCAGGAGCATTAAGCTCAGTATCAGAGATCATTTCCCTTTATTTTTTAGTCAGTATGATAGGGGAGAAAGATGGAGCATGAAGCAGCTCCTTTTGTGAAAAATATGCTTTTTAAAAGCCTGGTGAATCATGACATATCACTGATGACTGTGTTTTCATGTGTATCAGACAGAGAGGTGTTAGGACCTGAAATTCCTGTTCTAACAGTCTTCCTGGAATTTAAGCAGTAATTCAGAGAGCGGCATTCATCAGTTGCTTCCCCATGCATTAAATATGAGTGTAAGGCTGACAGTTACAAACCAATCAGCAGATTTTCGTAAACCTGAATATTTTGTCAGTTTGGCAGGAGGATGTATAACATTAAAGATAAAAAATGAAAGAAATGCCCACACATGATACAAACTTCTAGTAACCTTTTTATCACTATCAGCACTGGGAAACCACTTCTAAAGTTACGGAGCAGATGTTTTCATAGGTTGGTTTTCCATTTGTGAGCAATGAAGACCATATTAAAACAACCTTATTCTCTTGCAGTCCAACTTTAGTCCATAAGGCTTTTAAGATGCTTTGTATCTAAACCTTTGCAATAAATATTCTTACCTAAAGCAACTTCATATCAAGTTCTCTTAAAGTGTCACAATGAAGGGTTCTGCTGTGCAATTTCCACCCTTTCACAATATTTTTCACATGAATAAGGTACAATAAAATATTATCTGCATAAAAAGGCTTTATTACTTTATAACTGTAGAATAAATAACATTGCAGGTATTTTTGTAATTGAGCTGACCATACATGAACCTGTTTCCTTCAAATAAATAGGTTGTTTTTTTTTCAAGGAAAACACCTGTGGAACCATTCTGCCATAGGGAAGACTAGCATTAACCTACAAAGGGAATCTAGCATGTTTATATTAAAGGAATGTTCTCTAAGTGTTCAGGAGATGCTGTATAAGCATTGCAAAGCCTATAATCCACATTCTGAAAGGTCTGCAATGTTTCGTATCATTGACAATACAATTAGAGATGTGAGGATAATCAAGATGGTTTTATTCTTAATAGCCAGCATAATGCAAGGTACAGCAGAAGTCAAGAATTCATCATCTTTCCATATGCATAAGAAACCTTCCATTGCAGAACCTTTTGTTGGCACAAGCTCACTGCTTTCAGTGTTCAACTAATGGGTTAAAGCTGCTGTGGGTAGTCTTAAAAAAAATATTGCAACATCCTTTGTTTGCTATACAGATGAAGTTTTAGGAAGAATCTTCTTGGTTTTGATGCAAATTAAACTAAAAACTTTTTGGTGTTTCCCAGAACACAAAAATGCTCTGGAAAAGCCATATGTTCTATCAGGGTGTTTCCAGAACTCCAGGAGATATTTGCAGATTCAGCAGCCTGTAAAACTGCGAGTCCCTAGAGCCTGGCTCTCTTCTTCCATCTTGCAGGGAACAAAATGTGTGACTGTTGCTGTCTTAGACCCAGAGCTTCAGATCAAGATCTGTCACCTCCTGAATGGTGATTCAGGAGCAGCCACCTTGCTATGTTTACTCAGAGGCAAGGGATCTATCACCCTGTGAGTGCCCAGCAAATTTTGAAGGGACAGTCTGAAACTGAAAGGTACTGTTGCAGAACACACTGCAGTTCGGCTGCTGCAGAGGTGACCTCATTCCTCCTGGTCACCTGCAGTCCCTGCTAGACCCAGAGGAACCACAAATTCATAAGGCTCTGACTTCAGGTTGGAGATAAGTCCCTGAAACCATCTGCTCCCTGGTGTTTCCCAGTGCAGAGTGTTGCTCTCTGGCAGCTGTTTCCTCCTGATCACATGGCCAGCCACACTGCTTTCACTGTACTCAGGCAGGGTGGACTCCTCTTGAAAGTGAGCTCCTTAGAGCATATTTCAGATGCTGCACAGGCACGCTAGATGAAAGAGAAATGACAGAGAAGATTAAAAGTTCTGGCTTATGCACAGGACCATCATGTCCTAATGTAAGTCAAAACCCACTATGTTTTAAAATCAGAACTTAGGATTTTTGTAGCTATGTTTGTCCTATTTTTCTTTCTTTTTTCCATTTTTTCCTATATCAGGTGACATCTTATATGAAATTTTCTATAAATTGCCCACACATTTGAACACCCAGATCTCACGTTACTACAATGTGAAATAAACTATGGCTGGCAAGTGATGATACTCACTGAGCTGTGAAGGATACTGACAATATTCACTTAATTCTCTGCAAACTTTCAGTTGGATTTCAGTGAGCTGACTCCCATTTCCAAAGGCTCATATTTCCTTTTCATTTTTCTTTTTTCTGACACAGTAATTTGAGGCAAGTCAGGACATCTTTATTTTTAAGAGCCAGGAACCTGTGACATCCAGTCCCTGAGGCTGAAATACTATTTAAATAATTCCATGTAGTCTCCTCTGTCTGCTAAAAGAGAATAAATATAATTAGAAAAATGTGACTAATATCTTTCTCTGAATCCTCAGCATGCATCTCTTTTAGCCATCTATTCTCTTTCCTCCGGGCCCCAATTCCACATGTGCTAAACAGTAAGCACAGAACCTATCTATAAACCTGAAGCTAAGGGTATCTTATACCTCCTAATATAGGGGGATCTTCTAAACATTAGTTTTCAAGCTCTTAAGCTGTGCCTTCTGTAGAGAAGGTGCCTTACTGACTAGAAAATGCACCTTCACCAGCTTACCACTTTCAGCATTTTTTGTTCTTTCAGTATTCCCAATAGTTAGAGAAGTACTATTATCTGTTGGGCACAGAGGAGGAACTGAGAAACAGTTAAATGACTTGCCCTGAGCCATACAGGGATCCTGTGCAAACTAGGATGTGATGCTGTTAAATAATACTGTAAAGAAAAACACTTCCCTCTGAAGTTTAACTCCCAGTTTAAACCAACATATTCTACAAACAGGCACCATGTTACAATACCAATGCTAGTTAAATGATGGATTGAAAATAAGTCTCGAAGTACCAGAGCAGTACATTCTCCTTGTGCCTTCCCTGTTCATAAATTGTGAATCACATATATCCCATCAATAGTGTGTTGTGAAAAATCAAGGTTTTCCTTGTTAGATCAGGCAGTACCATTACAAAAATGGTGTATCACGCTTCTCATTTTATTTTGCAGATAAACAAGGACTACTTTAATTGCCATGATCTAACATGCCATCTCCAGAACAGAACATACAGTACTGAAGGGTATAATACGTCTGCAATACAGGGAAAGTTTATTTTAGGCATTAAATGAAATGACATTAACATAGAGTATGAAAAATACTGCCCTGTTCTTAATAGAATCTTTCTTGAAGGAACAGTTGTAAAAATGGATTTCATATTTTACTGCCTGTCAAAATATTAAATGTTGCACTAAGTTATATTTTGGAAATATGAAGCTTTTGCCACAAACAAGAAATAACTTCTATTATTCAGGGTGTCCTGTGTGTGTTTCAGTTTCTTAGATTTCATAATGCAGAGTTAATCCTTACTAGACATCAAGTAAGGAGGAGGTTAGCAGTGTCACGAAGCTCTAAAAGTCAAATCTTTTCATCAAAACCACTATTTTCTGATTCATTAGGGCAAAATATCCATCATCAGTATGACAAGCAAACAAGAGGACCGAGTGGAAGAGAAATATGTAGAAAAGTGAGGGTTGTGGGGCTTTTTAGGAAAGATTAGAGAGATGGCACCAAAACACAAGAAGGATATGAAAGAAAGGCTATATGCAGGCAAGAAGAAATCACAGGAGTAGAAAAACTATGATTTTTGATACCTCAGTCAGGCAGCACAGAGCAGCTGTGGTGCCTAACGAAACAAACAGTTCCTGCACCTGCAGAAAGAAAAGAAATAATAGCAACATAGCATCTTCCCAATGAAAAGAAGTAGATGTGAATGTCCTTGAGAATATAAATTGAGATCCCTGTCAAGGTCACAGCCCAGCAACCATGGGAACAAAACAGATCCAATGGCACCAAACACCTTGTCTGGGTTACTGCTGTATACATAACACACAACATATTTTTTCACATATGCTTCAGCAGGAATATTTGTTCAAAAAGTTCTGTATAAGCTGTGTCAGAGCTGCAGGAGCCGGAGAGGGCATCCCCCCATGCTGTGGTGATAAGTACAGGAGCAGCTGGCACCCTGGCTGTCCACTGCAAGGATAAGCATGCAGGCACTGGTGCTGTGCCCCAAGGGGATCTTGGACCACATGGTGAGCACCAAAAATGTGGGATGTGTGGATCCTGCCATGGTGCTAAGAGGCAGTCACTATCACTGCAGAAGAATACTTCTATTCAAACCGCAGGCATCTTTCTTTCTAAGTGTATGTAGAATATTAAGTGGTTAATTAAAGCAAAGAGGAAATTATGCCCCATGACTGGCCATCTGACAGACTTCCAGGTACAATATAAACTGTCCTGAATGGTTATCAGACACATATCTGAACAGTCTAACTTTATGAGCATACACAGGACTTTGCTACCTACAGAGAACTTGCAGAGCACATATTTAAGATACACAGTCATGAAAACAAGGAGAAACATCAAAAACAGGACTTCAAGGAAAAAGTACAACATTTCCCAGGACAGACATATGGATATTGTAGAGAATGAAATTTTGAATGAAACTGCAGCAGAAAAATCAAATAAAGCCCAGGTTTTACAGACAGAGAAATATACCATATATCACAATATATTTTTACAGGACAGGCTTCAATAGCTCCCAAGAACTAGGTCACAACCTTAATGTTGGCTGACTGAAGCTACTGCATTACTATTATCACTGAGCACTTTTTCCTCAAACAGATTTTAATACATTATTCTATTGGAATTAACCAGTGTCTTGTGATAAGGAGCAAGCCACCCTTCATTGTCAGGCATCAAATCATTTTAGTCTTCTGCTGATATATTTTCCTCTGGTACAATGTGCTAAAGAAAATAGTTTGCCTGCATGTAGAGTGGAAAAAAAAAAATTGCCTGAATAAGATGTAGATAAAAATGGATATAAAAATTAGTCCTGAAGTACTGTATATTTCCCAAGGCTAAGAACTCAGACAGTTATATTTAGCTTTAAATGCTCAAGTCCAAGTTTCTTCTCAGAAAATGATAGATCCTATTCAGAGAGTTTAAACTATGGCAAAGATATTTAAAGGAAGATCTCATTTTATTCATTTGTGATCACACTACATTCAGCAGTAAAACAATAGGTATGTCATAGACAGTGAAAGACATCTGTGTAGTATCGTGTGAATTTGGAACTCAGATATCAAGTATGGACCAAATTTTTCACTTTTTAGCAACTGGGCTACGACCATAGGGGTGTATCCGCATCAGGGATTGAAGGATTTGGGTGGCTTCAGAGGTTATAAATTTGGCTTGCAGATACATATACATATGGCACACACTCAGGCATACTTGAAGTCGTTTCCTTTTGAAACAAAGGTTGAAACCATACAATAGGACACTAGCTAGGAAGCACTGTTTTAATATGAACAGAAGGTCTTTGCTACATAGCTCTCTACGCTATTATGGCACAAGCAATGTTAGATTTTTGGCAAGCTGTTATAATTTCATATCCATAATACCTGATAGAAATGCTGTTGCAGGTGTCCTCTTTACCTCTCAGTTGCTAAATTATAGTAACAAGTGTACCTCTCCATTATTATCTCTGTATTTTTAACTGCTCTGTAATGTCCTACTAATACTGGGTAGCACTTAGCAAAAGAGGACAGGAAAGTGTGCATTTAGTGATTGTAATTGACATAAACTATAGGCAAATTTCTTGCTGTGAAAGAAGAAAGCTGAAACTGAAGATATCTAGATAATTATCTCATCTAGAAAATGTCTACAGCCTGCCCATTGGTAGATAAGGATGACAGCTTGTGCTTCATACTGATTCTTGCATTATAAAGATAGAAAAGGTGTGTCTTGCCCTTCTGTTGAAACATTTTCTTGACTGAAATCCTCTTCTACAATGATGCATTTGAAGACAGGTGCTCCTACATAACAAAACATTCTGAAGTCTGGTACCACAGTGGTTCAAGTCAGCTACCCACACTCTCTTGTTCCAGTTTCTGAAAGGGAATTGCAGCTTGTTTATCCTGAACTGACCTCCAGCAGGCTCCTTTATGAATCATGATCACAGTAGCAAGACTGAAAGAGAGATGAGCAGCACAGCTGTAGCCATGGTTTCCAGAGAAGGTTGTCCCATGACAGCTGGTTAGGGACAGCATGGAGGGATCTGGTGTGGTTTTCTATTGCCAGGTGTATGACCCTGAGGATTTCATAGAAATGTCTCTCTGTTTTTGGAGTCAGTGGGACTTTCTCTTCAGGGTCTGTGGAGAGATCAAAGAGCAGTGGGGGATCATGCCATGTGATGAATCTTCCATGGCAGAAGCAGACATGAGAATCATAGCAACCATTGGAGTCTTCCGGACTGAAGTTTGGAGTGAAGAAGAAGACTTTCCAGACAGATTCACCTGCAGTTTACAGACACAAAACAGCTGGTGATAAAATGAAAAACTGAAAGTTCCCTAGTCTTATGAACCTCTAATTTACACGACAGGAAATCAGTCTTTTAATACAACCTTGCTCTGTAGAGGAACTGCAATATACTGAAAGAATAAAACAAAATTGAGCAAAACAAAAATAAGCAGAACACACTGATTTTCAGGCAACACACATTTATGAAATAATTATGATTATTTCATTCCCTTGGACGGATTCTGATTAACTAAACCATAGAATGCTTAAAAGAACTTTGCGTTTTTACATAAACTGTGCCAAGAAGATTTGCATAAATATTTACTAAGCCATTGTACTGTCTCCTTCAGGACTTCTTAAAATGTACCTCTGCCCCTTGACCATATACAGACATTTCTGGGTCATGTCTGCTTTTCATTTTACTAATAAAAACAATTTCTTTTTTACCTTTTTCTCTCTTCCTCTCTTTTGCGTATTCAACTATTGCCCCCTGCCACATGCTTTCATTGCAAGCACCTGGAGACAGTTTCTTACATTATTAAATGTGATGACATGAAAAGGTATAATGGAAGTTAAATTGCTCTCTTGGGCCTCTAGATGTTTTTTTTTTCCAAAAATAAGTAACTGTTACAGTGGTACAATTTTTAGGTGATGCTGTGCTTTGTAAAATGGGAAGCAAAGGTCTTCATTTGCAGTTTGGCTGTTCTCTTTCGGCTTAATTTGCTGTGTACAGAAACTGAACTAATGTAACTTCAGTTAGAATTTTCACTGTTTAAAAATACTAGTCATTTCCTGGACTAAGAATAAAGAGATATCAATTGGCTCCTTCAAGAAGCACTCTTGAACAGAAGGTACACTGGAGAATCTGAAAATATTGAACAGGAAAGGAGTAAACAAAAAAAAAAAGGCTGCTATCTTCCTGAACTATCACAGAACAGACAGGAAAGGCAGGCAGGGAAAGTCCTCCCACAGCCAGGGAAGCATACTGTTCTCCAGAAATGGACCAGAGAATCACTAAATAGATAAAACCCCCTACTTCGTTCTTAATAAAAGTAGGACACTAATCATTAGTAATTTGCATTCCTCAGCACCCTACTGCAAAAAATATTTATGTATCACCTCTTTTTTTTTCAGTAATGGAGGAAAAACTTTTTTGGTATTTTGGTGAATAGCTTGTTAATGTAGCAATGAATAGCCACAGATTTATGTGCACTACAGTGGTTAATATTCATTAATCAATTCATCAGTTCAACAGAATGGAAAACACTAGAACATGTGGGAAGGGCAGAGATGAATTGGTATATGCCAAGCTGTAACTATATCATACTCAATTTTTTAATGTAAAAGCAGGTTTAAAGAAAGAAATGTTTCAGTGGACTAAAGACACACAGGCTGCAGTGCTAGTCTATAGCATGAATTTAAAGGACAGTATGTGACCTTCAGATTCTTTACAGCTTCTTCTATCCCACAGCATTTTTCACATTACAGGAGATTTTACCTTTTGGAACCAATTCAGTGGCAGAGCCTGGAGACTTCCAGTTCACTTCATCTGCACTTAAATCAGGGTCGGAGGGGTGATGGTTATTACACACATTAGACTGGGAGAACCCTCTGAATGTTGCCTGGAAGCCAGCAAAGGGTAAGGAGCTTTAAAGGCTGAGAGTGACTTGCAGGCACAGACAATAGGATGTGGCAAGCTTTAAAATGCTCTGGTTGTGACAGCCACAATGGCACAGTCTTACTGGAAAAAACAGAAGGGGAAGGGAAGGGAAGGCAAGGCAAGGCAAGGCAAGGCAAGGCAAGGCAAGGCAAGGCAAGGCAAGGCAAGGCAAGGCAAGGCAAGGAAAGGCAGCATTCCTTCATCTACTTTTTGAATAAGATTTTGAAAGATTGGTTTGATACTTGAATCCTTTGCTATTTTCACAGAATTGAAATAAATAAACAAAACTTCTCCTAAAATTCTTTGAACTTATGCATGGAACACTTCCAGGAGCAGATATATGCCTCTTATTTACTGAGATTTAGAATTTACATTCTGGGAACATACGCAATTCCATTCTAAATATTCCTTCAGGCCCTTTAAAAGTGTTTAGTTGGCAAGATGGACAATGAATAACAGAAAAAGCCAAAGGCCTTTATTAATCAGTGCACTGTGCACCTTTGTAGAGTACACAACATTTGCCCTGACTGAGACTTTGATTCAGGGCACTATAACACCTTGATAGAAAAAGAGGGAAAAAAAATTATATAGCTATTAAAATAATAAAAAAATATAGCTATTAAAATGTCAATTAATATGATTCCGGTAAGGCCATGCACATGAGAACTTTGTGGTCAGGGTGTCTTACCACTCATCTATCTTTCGTGCTACAGTTGTGCTGAATGACATTGAAAGGAAATTTTCAACCAATGTTTTTGATCTTGGGCACTGTATCACCAGGCAATTTAAGGGCTTATAAATAGCAATATAAAGTTGGGGATTTTGAAATAATGCAAGTCAGTACAAGCAGCTCAAGTAGGTAAGACATGGGGAAAAGGGAGAAACAAGGCAATTGTACCTTCCTGCCCCCCCCCCAAATAAAGAATTGTTCAGGTTTTGCTCTACACAGAGCAGACAGCATGTTGCAGCATCAGGTGTGGGGTTGAGGAGAGAGCATGTGTGACATCACATTATGTCTGAATCACACTGCTAGTGTTTTGAAGAGCTAGTGCTAATTTGTTAGCTATGCATCTATATAATGTCATGATCACACTGCACAAAACACTGAGCTCTGCAAGAGCAAAGTCTGTTATTATGTAATGTTCATCTGTTGCACTGCAGCGATGTTTCAGCAAGGATCTGGGACTTCATGTGGTGCTGGAGGACAGACTTTAACTGCCAATTTCCTAAGCATTATAAAACTAACGCATATCTATCAGTGTCTGTTGCTGTGGAGCAGCCAGTGTAATATACTAGGAGACATAAAGAGTTGTCAGACTTCTAATCTGTAAAGCTGATGAACTGTATAAGACTCAATATTAAAAAGTAAGAGCTCTCTCCCAGTCTCTCTCAGCTGATATAAAATCTCATTTTGTCAGAAGGTTAACTACAAGGATCAAATTAATCTCTCAGTAATTAATGATACCTTTGTTCTGCAAAGCATCTGGATAGTAAACTCTCTTTATACAGAAAGATAACTATATGTCTCCTCCTCAGTGAAGTTAGTAGTAAAATTGTCAGGGCTCCCCTGCAGTCAAGTATATCAGGTCCCTTCCAAAACAGAAGGCAAGTTCTAACTCTGTAGCACTCTTAAAGATACTATCCCAGTGCTTCACGGCTACTTTATTTTGCATCCATTTTTCCTGCAACTCTCCAGCTCTCTGAATTGTCCAGCAATTTCACCTATTCAACTCTCAGAACACCTCTTCCCTTCACACATTAAGAAAAACAGAAACTGCAGAAGCTGTACATCTAAATAGTCGCACATTAAAATCGGTTGTAATTAGTTCTAGCAAACCTGCTATGAACATAATTGTTCAGAGTTTTCCCTAACAGACTCCTGTTTTAGTAACCTTTACTCATCTATTTATTCTCTCATACTTGAACAGACAAACAGTTCCAAAAGACAGTCATCAGTCATGAGATCAAATAAAAGTCTTTCAGTAAGTTATAGTAATATTTCCAAGATGAAGTAACACACTGGATAAGGATGTAATCTCTGTTATCACTTCTTAATCACTGATGGCTAAACGGTGTTTTTTGATAAGCAGTCCTTGAAGGGAATAGAAGCTATTGATGTGTTACTGTCTGGATCTCATTTTTACTGAATTAATCTATGACTTATAAAGCTTAGTAGCTTTATAACTTTGCTGCAACTTATCTCCTTTGTTCACATAATGTTGTTTATTCTTTCTGTAGAAGAACAAGTTAAACGAGTCTCTTCTTCACTGTAAATTGCAGTGCTGGTCTCTCCTTGACATCAGATGCCTTTGAGCATAACCCTGTGGGCATAGCGTATTCATGTAAATTGCCTACAGACTTTTCCTGTATCTCAAGTGTGCTCAATAACCATTGTCAACTCCTACACTCCTAGACCAAGCTCTTCAATGTTTCTACAGAGTAGCCTGAAAATTACATTCTTCAGATAACTCTTGTTATTAGATTGAATCCTTTCTTCCCACTTCTTGTATCTTTAGAATCATTTATTAGGTTCTCTGCTAATCTTATCTAAAATAGATATCACATGCGTATATATTCAGATCTTCAATAATTTACCAATTTAGAAAAGGTTTCTGTTGTGAAATCCTTGTAGAGCTATATGTAGCTCCTAGAGAATACTATCTGGTTGCTATAAAGAAAACACAGGCATTATTTTAATGACTATGTGAATTCCTCAAACAGCTAATAAAAACCTGGTATTTGAGTTTAAAAATTTGTAACTTCATTATTCTTTCAGTATTTTATATTTTTTTAGGTACTTGTTTTAAGTATCTGGGTATCCTACAATGTTATATTGTCACATCAGTCAAAAGACAGTACATTATTTCCTGTAGTAATAGGTGGAGAATGAGTGATATTCAAAAACATAATGTTACTTTATGAGAATAAGTTGTTGCTAGGAGAGGTTTGCATAAAGAATTCTTCAGAACATACAGTATTTGAGGTAAAACCATGAAAAATACCCATAGTAGCAGTGATTTTAAAATCTTAGAAACTGCAGTGTTAAGTATCCTCTAAACTGGAAAGGATTGCACATTGATGAATATGTAATAATCATACTAAACAACTGCTGGAGTAAAAGACAGTGAAACCATCCTCAGGCTGCTGAAGTCAAGACAGAAATTTCATGACTGAGTTCATTATCTAGAGTAAGTGATGTGGCATGAAAAGCTTCTACTGAATTCTGCTGAATGGTAGCATCTGACAAAAAAATATTTTCCTGAATTCTTAATTATCTTCAAAGATACTTGATTAATCATTTACAGTGTTTTCTTGTCAAAGAAAGTCCCAAATGGG